AGTTGTATTATTTTTTGTATGTAATTTTAAGAACAGCTTTATTGAGGTATAATTGACATACAATAAATTGTACATGTTTGAAATATATAATTTGATTCCATTTGACATATGGATACACCTGTGAAACCATTACCACAATCAAGATGGTGAACATGTCCATCACTTCCCAAAGTTTCCTCATGCCTCTTTGTAATCCATCACTCCTGCCCCTCCCTGCCCTCCTTTTCCCCAAACAACACTGATCTGCTTTCTGTTACTATAAACTAGTTTGCATTTTCTAGAGTTTTATACAAATGAAGTCATATGGTAGGTACTCCTCTTTGTCTGGCTTCTTTCACACAGCATAATTATTTTGAGATTCACCCATGTTGTTAAGTATATGAACAGTTCATTTCTTTTTATTGCTGAGTAGTAATCCATTGTATGGCTATACCTCAATTTGTTTATTCATTTATCTGTTGATGGGCATTTAGGTTGTTTTTGGCTATTACAAATAAAGCCACTATGAATATAAATATACCAGTCTTTTATGGACATTTTTGTACATAATGGTACTGTCATTTAAATATGTGTTTCTTTAGTTACCAAAAAGTAGAACATTTGCATTTTTTCTTGTGAATTATCAGTTGGCTATGTAATAGAATAATGGTGGTGCTCTTAAATTTTTGAATAGGCTCCGTGTGTTACAGATACTATTTGTCATATTTTGTAGGTTTCAAGTTTCTCATAGTTAACTCTGTCAAGTCACTGTCCCTCTGTGGATAGGATAAATAGGTTTCTAATGATCATTTGTTCTACTATGTCTATATTTTATACTTTAATCCATTTCACATATGATCTTTAAGGCAGCTATAGTTTAATAGCGAAAACATATGATTAGAGAGTTGAGTATGAGACCCAGAACTGCCAGTTTTGATTTTGGACATCTGAGCAAGTTCCTCAAGTTCTTGAACTTGAAGTTTTTCCTCTGTAATGGGAAATATATATAATGTATGTGAAATCACTTTATAACTTTTTAAACTGAAACACATAAAATAATACCGTGGTAATGAACCTTTTTTTAAAAAAGTAAACATTTGAGAATGTCACATGTACCATATGACTAATGCCTATGCATCTCATACAGGTATTGGGAAACAAGAGAGCAGCGTACGCCCAGCTTGAAAGGAAAGCTCGTTCAGAAGGCCGATCAGGAGCAGCAGGACCCCCTGGAATACCTCCAGTCTGATGAGGAGGACGACGAGAAGAGCGGCGCCCAGCGTCGGCTGCAGGAGCAGCGCGAGCGCCTGCACGGAGCCCTCGCTCTCATAGAGCTCGCCAACCTGACAGGGGCGCCACTGCGCCAGTAGCCTGAACACTGACTTTTCCACTGTACAAAAGTACTGCCCAGCGTACTTAAAAAGTAGATCCTTGGGCATAAGCTAAGCACCTTATTTGCTTATCATAGGCTGCTATTCTGTAGAAATTTATGAAGAATGTCATTGCCCCAGAATATGGGGTGAGAGAGAATTGCACTTTTTTTATATGGTATTGGTTTTGTTGTAAAGTTTAAAATATTTTGTAAATATGGGACTTGTAGTACAGGGTAGAAAACTACCTATTGTGGGAAGCTAGATTTTGCAAGTTTAATGCATTCATTGGAAGCAGTTCTCACAGGAAGCACTTTCTGAATAAGACACTTATATGAAAAAACAGATCGGTAAATGTAGCCAAAGAAGGTCAAAATAGATTATTTATGAGATCATTTTTAACAATGTATATTAGTATGTTTAACAATACTGTAAACACTGAAGCAAACAAGAAAGTATAAGAAATGGGTGTAAGATATACATTTTTAAATTGCATAATAGTGTGCCTAAAAAGACTAGAGAAATGGAAAACTGACTATTTCGGAAGATGTTCTAAGTTATGGACTTTAGAAGAAAATAGATATTTGAAGATCTTCATAAGATGCACAATCGTTCAGAATTTTCAAAATTGGAGTAAAATCAATCTTATTCTATCTTTCTTAGGCTTTACAACTCACTATGATGTTCAGGTTTGAAAAGCACTTGTCATCCCTAACTTGTTAACTTGGGAACTTTTGCACATTTCATATTTCTCATTTGCTGAAATTGAGTGATTAATCTTGCAAAGTCTAGGTAACTTGGTAATTGGTATTTTTTTTTATATATTATGGGCCCTGTAATGAGATTTGACAATTGGACTTTTATTGATAAAAGGGACATCTGCAGGGTTGTTTTGTAATGAACTGTTTTAGATCTTTTGTTAGCAAACACTAAATTTTAATTGTACTGCTTGTTTAGAATTATTAGCAAACAGAAGCCTCCTATTTATATCTCCAGTGCATAAATCCACCTTCTTGCTTTCCTTCAGAATAACATGCCAAGCTATTTTGTGTTCACTCAACTTAGCTGTCAGTTAAACACTGCAGAAAATATTAGCTACTCAAATAAGTAGGCTTCTGGAATAGTTTTAACTGCAAGTGTGTTAACTTGTGTGGTGGTTTTAAACTATTCTTCCAAATAAATGAAGTTTTTAAACACCACCTTATGTACTGAAGCATGAACAGAAAAATCAAGAGCTGAGCAGTTCACTTCCTTTATGTAGGCATAAACTTCTACCATTTTAGCTTTTGTTTTAAGCAGAACTTAAATAACATGCATAGCATGGTAATTTTATAGATTGCTTAATTGGAGTAAACCTCAGAATAACAGAAGGAAAATATGGGCTTTTCAGTGCCTTTTTTTAAAATTGAAGTAGTAGCCTACAGATGTAGTTTTAAACGTTATGTAAAATTAGGCTTCTTTATCCAAAAATCCCAATGTGTTGCAGTACACAGATAGTTTAAAATACGTAGCCATGGGAAGGGGAGGTGTGTAAATGTCTTGACAAGGAGTGAAAGTGTGGAAGACGATAGTAACAAATAATGTGTATGATGAGGACATGCTTTAAAGGTGTAATTCCTCTGTATAGTAAATTACAGATCTTGTGGGATTTTTTTTCCTATTAAGAGAATTTATATTTGTAATGGTCTAAGAGTTTTGTTTGTAATCTGATATATGGAATTTTAATTTGGAGCACTTATACACAAGAGAGACCATCTGAATTTTCTTGGTTTAGGTTTCAACATTTTCTCTAGAATTTTTTCCCCTCAAATATGACTTAAATGAACTATCAAAAGCAGCACTCATCAGCCTTGGGAAATTTAGAATTTGATGAACTTAATCTAAAGAGGGAAGGGCAGTAAGAATTTAAAAAATACAAATACTTGCCGTGTCACAGATAATAAAATTTAAGGCTTCAAAAGTAAGAGTTTCTGTTTGTTTGTTTCTCTGGTCAGCTTTTGTCAACTATAATAGTTATATTCACTTTTTCTTTTTTTTGTATAATTGGGAGTTTAAGAAATGATTACAACTACTTCAGAAATATTTAAAATGTTATTTTTTGATATAAGCTATACACTTGGACAAAATACATTGGCATCTAAAATTTGAGGTGTTTCAGACTGCTTTTTGTTTTAAAAATGTGGTTTACATTCAAATTTTTGAAGTGTTTTGTGCTTCATAGGGCTAAGCTGTAGTCTGGCAGAGTTAACAGCATCAGAATAAACATGCTGTAATTTTAAAAGATGCTTTGAATAAAAATTTAATTTACACTTTAAAGTATATGTTCATTCTTGAGCCCTTTATAATTTGTTTTCCTATCAAAAATGGAATAACCATGATATAAAAAATTTAAAACATAGAAATGTCTCTTAAAGCCCCACACTTTTCTATCGTTATTGTTTTGGTGCATTTTATATTTCATTCCTGTCTCATCCCAGGCGTCTTTTTAGGTTTACTTGGAACCAGTGTGAATTGCTTTTTCTTACTTTGAAAGGATGGCCTTTTAGATTATAGATATTCATTTAACTTCCTCTGGTTCATTATTACAGTGTTAAAAATACACTGGTGCAGTTGAGTATTAAACTAAGGTCACCCCATCGCAGGCCTTTTGTTAGGGTCATCAGGAACTGGGATTTCATTTCACTTACATTCAGGATGTATTGAAGTTGGGGTCACCTCCCCAAGAATCCACTCAGGGCCTGCTTACTTTTCTGAGTAAAGCAAATTGATTTAATTGTTTCATTAGTTACTTTTGGTAGGTCTTTAGTCAGTACTTAAAATGGTAAGCTTCAGCCCGTTCAGGCTTGCACAACAGAATTTCACAAGCAGCTCTCGGTGAGCTGTGATTTAAACAGTAAGGGTGAGATTTTGACAGTGACTTAGGTCCCTGAAGTATGTACAAAGAAGCCAATTAAATGCAAATATGATTGTCATTAAAAGGAACTTCACTGTTTTGCAGTCAAACCTTATTTGGATTCACTGGCAACTTGATCTTTTTGAGGAAATCAATCAAAATGACCAAGTTCACATCTTTTGGTTCAACTTGAATATGAATTCATTTTCTGCTTTAAAACGGTCTGATGTTGTGTTCGTTTCCTTTGTTGTTCAGTGCCTACAATGGAAAAACAGTTTTATGGGGATCAATAGTTAGGCTCAAACTTCTATTTAACTTGAAGTCATCAGCTTTTCTAAAAAGCTAAAATTTCAGATTTTTAAAGTTAGTTATTTACAATGGAAATATGGGACACAACTTGGAAAAGTGCTAGAGCAGGTAGACCGGTCAGAGTGGGCAGTTTTGGGAGGCTCTCCTTCAGTGAACGTGGGCGACAAGCACCGAGGCTTGGTTGCTATCCCTGTGGGAAAGGGGCTCTCGGAGAGGAGGGAACCTGCCCAGGGCACCCAGAGGCAGAAGCGGTTCGAGTGCGCCCGCCTCACCCTAGTTCCGCTCCTGGGCGTTTGCCGAGGAAAAAGGAAAACACGCTCACACGAGCACTATACACGAATGGTCATGGAAGCTTTTTTATAATAGCCCTAAACTGAAAACAACCAACATGCCCGCCAGCTGGTGAATGGATGATCAAATTGTGATAATTACTCAATTAAACCACCAACATGGGTGAGACTCCAAAATAATAAACCGAGCGAAAAGTCTTAAAATAGTACACATACTCAGTTTACATGAGACTTACATGAAATTCTGGAAAAGCAAATTGACCTATGGTAATAGAAATCAGAAGGAGCGGGGGTAGGGAGTTAACCTCAGTGGGGCACAAAGGGCAATTTTGGGGGTGATGGAAATGTTTTGATTTGGGTGGTTACGTGTGCGTATGCATTTGTCAAAACATGGAACTGTGTAGTCGTAAAATCTACATTTCATTGTATGTAAATTATATGTTAAAAAGAAGCAGGAAAAAACAGCAAAACAAACGCTGAGACTGAAACTGAGTATTTTCCCCCGAGACAGCCATGCGGAAGGGGCAGGGCTCTCTGACGCGCTCAGACCCGTTTCTGTTCTCCCTTTAGACCGAGTCTGGAGGAGGTGCTTCGGCCGAACTCTGGCCGCCCGGTCCTCCAGTGCGGCCCCGGGGAACGGGCAGGGGGCGCGGGCAGCAGCCCTTCCTGTGTCGCCCTCGCCCTCTCGGCCGCCAGGGCGGGGACGGAACCGGGTGGGGGGCGCCGGAGCGAGGCCAGGGCGGGGCGGGGCCGGAGCGGGGCGGGGGCGGGCCTCCGGGAGGGCGGGGCGGAGCCGGGCCGGGCTGGGGCCAGGTCGGGGGCCGGGCCGGAGCGAGGCCGGTGGGCGGGGCGGGGCCTCCGGGCGGGCGGCGCGGAGCCGGGCCGGGGCGGGGCCATGGCGGGGGCGTGGCCGGAGCGAGGCTGTTGGGCGGGGCGGGGCCTCCGGGCGGGCGGTGCGGGCCGGGCCGGGGCGGGGCCATGGCGGGGGCGTGGCGGGGGCGGGGGTGGTGGGCGGGGACGCGGCTTCCGCGGGGCCGCCCCCGCGAGGGGCGCAGCTGCTGTCGGCGCTGTTCTACGGGACCTGCTCCTTCCTCCTCGTGCTGGTCAACAAGGCGCTGCTGACCACCTACCGGTGAGGCGGGCGCAGGGGTCCGGGCGGGGGCCGCGGGGGCGCCCAGCTGCGCGGCGGCCACCTGTCCCGGCCTTTCCCACTCCGGTGCCACGCCGTCGGCCGGGGTGGCCGGACCCGGAGGTCCCCGGCGGGGGATTGGGGGCGGCGGGGCTGCCGTGCCCTGCCCTCGGTGCCCTTCGGCCGCGCCCCGGTCGGCGGGCGGGCGGGGACGGAGCCGGGAGTCCCTGCTGACTCCGTGCCAGCGCGAGGGCGGTGTGCTCCGCAGTGGCCACGCTTTCACGGGGCCCGGGCTTCGCCGCGGTCCGAGGGCCACCCCGCGACCCAGCGAAGTGGCAGCTCCGCAGCTGGACCTGCGCGCCTCGCCGCTCTGAGGCGCTGGGCAACGACGCGAGCGGTCGGAGCGTGTCGGTAAAGGCGAACGGTTCTTTGTGCAAACCTGGCTCGACAGTCAGATGAGACCTGAGCGGAGAAGTTTGTTCGTATTGTTGGATCATTCATTCTCAAATACCAGCACGTTCATGGAAAACAGAAGTTCACGTGAGGTACTTATTTGGGTTAGTGTGCAGTAAACCAGCAAATCTGTGGTTCCTGGAACCTATTTCTAAGGACTAGAGAATCCTGTTTAATCCTGCTATCGTTGTAGCCGCATTGAAGGCACTGTACATTCAGATCCACCGCCACCATTTAATAGCTCTGTCTCTTGGGCCAGTCCCAAAGTCAGCAGTTTTATCAGATGCAAAAGCTGGGTAATTACAACTCTGTTAATTACCTCCCAGAGCTTTGCATGAGCTGTCATAAGCACCTGTGGTGTGCCAGGCACGGTTCTAGGCAGTTAGTTGGGATACAGAAGTGAATAAAGCAGATCACAATCCCAGATGTCATGGAGAGTACGTCCATCCTCCTGGAGCTTACACAGAGCTTGCTAGTGGATCAGTAAATAAACTGATAGATTTTATATTATGTCAGATGCAGCTGTGTAGTTAGGAGAAAAAAAATAAAGCAGGAAAGGGAGTTGGGGAGTGTGGGTGTGGGAATCAGTTTGCTGTCTCACTGTGATCAGTGAATCCTTGCTGAGGAGGTGACATCTGAGCCAAGACATGAGTGAGGTGAGGGAGATGGAGGAAGAACATTCCAGCTGTGGAAGAGTCAGGAGTTTGGGTGGGAACAGTACTAGATGGGGTGCCAGGGTAATGGATTCCTAGATTGTGTAGGGCCTTCGCAGCCACGTGGGAGCTCTGAGGGAGATGGGAGCCCCTGGAAGGTGTTGAGCAGAGGAGTAACAGGATCTAAATCTCTCTGGCTGTGGGTTGAGAGCAGATATTAGGGGACCAGGGTGGAAGCAGGGAGACCATGATAAGTAGTTTTAATTTAGTCTAAATGCAGTTGGAAGTTCTTGGAAGGTTTTAGCATGGGGAGTGACATGACGTAATTTGTGTAATTAAAGAGATTTCTTTGGCTGATGCGTGGTTGGAGAACTATGGTATTGGAAGCAGGCAGAGGAGCTAGGAAGCGGTTGCAGTATTCTAGGTAATTCTAAGAGACAGCTTGGAGTGGGGTGGGAGTAGCAGCAGATGTGGAGGGAAGGGATGGATTGGGGTTTCTTAGGGGGATCCCATGGCTCTTGATAGTCTTTATAAGGTCTTACCAGTGTTGCCACATGCTTTCTGTGTCCATGGGAAACAAACCCTGCTTCAAAGAAATTACAGTGAACAAAATACCTAAACCAGGATCATTTCACACATACAAGGCAAGCTAATGAAAGAAAAGGAAAACAAACACCTATGATAAAAAAAACAAGAGAATGCTGTTAATGGGCTTGTTTCAGAGTGGTCGGAAGTTCTGTCAGATGAAGTTTGAAGATCAGTCTCTTCTTTCTGCTCTTGAGTGAGCACTGTGCTCTCTGGCCACAGTCAGTGCCTCCAAAAATGTGTGTTTTCTTGTTGGAAGCAGGGACCAGTAAGCACTGGTTAAGTGCTTCCACGAAGAGCAGTGTCCATCCAGGAAGAATTGTTCTTTGAGAGAGCTCATGCTCTAGCCTTTCCATCTTTAAAAGTTTGAATTCCATGATTGAAGGAGGAAATCCAGTTTTTGTCTCAGCAAGGCAAAACCCTTAAAACCTTGTGAGTAGACGTTTCCCATTTCCGTCACATAATATATTACACAGTTGGAGAACAATGTTCAAGTACCATTCTTCGTTCTCTCATCTCAAAATGCTTTAGGAGCACATTTTTGAGGGGAGAAGGGTTGAGGTGATTTGGTTACAAAAATAAACCATAGAAATTTGATCCAAACATTAGCTGTTTAAAGATAGGATGTTGTGTTGTAGGATGGAAGGAAGGACCTTTAAATAATCACCTAGTTCACAGGATCGTGGGACCGTGGCTCAGAGGATGTTTTTTCTCTTCCATTTTGAGCAGATTGTTTCTGGTTGGCGTACAAGGTTAATGGGTAGTCTTAGTTATTTGTTAGTTTATTTTATTGTAATAGGAGATTTACATGGTTGGACAGAGAAGTCTTTGAAGGATGTGACCCTACTGGGGGAGAGGGAAAAGCAAGGTCATCTAAGAATCTGTGGCCTGTTGGTTACATTGGTGGGTCTTGGAAATCAGATTCATGAGGGTTGTGCAGGCAGTCTGAAGTTGTTTTTTAATTGTTATTTTAATATTATTCTTTATGACACACAAGAACTTACTAATGATGCTTAATAAAAATATAGAACTTAGTTGTATTCAGTTCAACAAGTATTTGCTTGGCATTCACAATGTGTCTACCTTATGCATCCCAGGGCTTTGGGCTCATTTGACATAGTGGTTTCTAAACCTCCTGGTAGTGTGAATTGGAGAGATTTTTATAAAAAGCTATTGAATCTGAGTCTCCGCTGATGGGAACTGGTAGTCTATCATAAAAAACAAAAACAACTCCTAATTTTCTCCTACTTTAGTGAAAACCTGCTCTCAGCTGACGATGCTGTTCCTTTTGGCCCCTCAGTGGGAGCTGGATCTTGGTCTCTCTCCAGACGTGGCCAGGAGGTGGATGGGTCCTCATAGCTCCCTGGAGACTCTGCCTGTACCACTCCCTTTCCGTCCTCTCTGTGTCGGCCCTAGAGCTCCTGTGTCTCCTTCAGTGAAGAGTCCTGGTCTTCCTCTCCCCTGGACTCCCGTCATCAGACTTCAGGATCCATGGCTGGAACCCTCGCAGCCGGTCTTGTTCCACTTCCCATGGTCACTCCCAGGGCCGGGTGCTCAGCGTGACCGCTCCAGTTTCCACCTAGCTCTTTCTGTCACATCTACCCTCCCAGCATCCCTTCCCTTCTAGTCCAGCAGATCCTAGACCAGTGGAGAGGAGAGCTGCTCTGGAACCCTGTGGCTCTTTTCCTGCTCCCACCTTGGCTGGCCTTTGTTGGCTTAAGGCCCTCATTAGCCTACTTCCTTCAGACCTTGAGCAGCTCTGACTCTCCTGGGAGAAAAGCCACTTCTGGGCTGGCTCAGTTGACTTTAAATTGTTGATCACAAACCTCAACCAGCTCTTGTTGTCTCAGAAATGACTCTTTCAGGCTTTCTCCTTCAGCCTGAAACCTCCCACAGCCCCGTTCTCCACACTCCTTCTCTGATGCTTCATTGAGAAAACAAACCGTACAACAAGCCCCCTCCGTGTCCTTCCAGCTGAGATGGAGGGAGTGCTTTGTTCCTGTGGAAGCCCCAACTGCACGCTTCTGGGGGTCCACTCCACCCAGTTCCTTCCGTTGTCCTCCTCTACTCAGTATCAGCAACTTCTGTCAGCTTAAAATAGATTCTAGTTTCTCAAGCAGATGAAAATCTTCCCTTGATCCCACAGGGATTTCTCTGTTCTCTTCAGAGTCGTACTCTTCAAAGAGTTGTGTACACATACTGTCTTCACATCCTTGCATTCACTCCTACAAGAATTCAGTTAAAAAATTGGGGTTATTTAAATACAGAAATGTACAAAGACGACAATGATAATTATCCATATTCCCACTACCTAGAGTCAATATCTTGAAATATGTATTTTTTTTAAAGAAAAGTCCTTCTGTTGTGATCATTATAAAGAATTCAAACAAAATAAAAATATTAGGTGGAATTTAAAAAATTACTCTAATTGAAAACACACCATACCAACTCATTTGGGACGCAGCAAAAGCGGTCCTAAGAGGGAAATTCATTGCAATACAGGCTCACTTCAATAAACAAGAAAAATCTCAGATAAGCAATCTTAAACGACACCTAGCAGAATTAGAAAAAGAAGAACAAACCAAACCCAGAGTCAGTAGAAGGAGAGAAATAATAAAAATTCGAGCAGAAATAAATGATATTGAAACAAAAAAGACAGTAGAAAGGATCAATGAAACGAAGAGTTGGTTCTTGGAAAAAATTAACAAAATTGACAAACCTTTAGCCAGACTCACCAAGAAAAAAAGAGAGAAGACTCAAATAAATAAAGTTGGAAATGAGAGAGGAGAAATCACAACGGATACCACTGAAATACAAAGGATCATAAGAGAATACTATGAAAAACTATATGCCAACAAATCTGACAACCTAGAAGAAATAGATAAATTCTTAGACTCTTACAACCTCCCACAACTGAAGCAGGAAGAAATAGAGAATCTGAATAAACCATTCACAAGTAAAGAAATCGAAACAGTAATTCAAAACCTCCCCAAAAATAAAAGTCCAGGACCAGACAGCTTCTCTGGAGAATTCTACCAAACATTCAAAGAAGATTTAATATCTATCCTTCTCAAACTATTCCAGAAAATTGAGGAAGATGAAGCACTGCCTAACACATTCTATGAAGCCAACATTACCCTGATCCCCAAACCTGACAAGGACAACACAAAGAAGGAAAACTACAGGCCAATATCACTGATGAACATAGATGCAAAAATCCTCAACAAAATTCTGGCAAACCGAATACAGCAATACATCAAAAAGATTATACACCATGATCAAGTGGGATTTATACCAGGGACACAGGGATGG